TTTTTTTACTAATTATCATATGGATAATTATTTTGAAAATATAACTTTTTAAATGGAAAGTAAATTTAATAAGAATTTTAGACCTATTCCTATTATTTTTGGTTTGGGGTTCTTATCGATCCATGTTTGAAGAATGTTGGCCTTCAAAATTTTGTTAAATCCTTTGTATAAAAACATGATAATAGACACTAACAATGGTCAGGCTACTACTGCTCTTACTCGTCATAACACCATTAGATATTATTTTCAAATTATATGAGGAGGTAGATATGGTGTAAGTACACAACAACCTACAGCTACTGCTTCTACGAGTTCAAGCCAGAGCAAAGGTAAGATTTTTGATAGGCAATTAATGATAGCAAGGCATGCTTCTAGATTTGAATCATCATCAAGGAAACTCTCTGAAATTGAATAATATTTATTTTCACCTTTAGTTAAAACTCAAAATAATGATTTTGATATTTCATAATTGTAGAACAGTTTCATATCCTATACTTTCCATCATGACTCGTGACTTACTAACAATGCATGTTTCTACATTAGCTACAGAATCCACCTTTAGCACATCAGGACGTTTGATTGACGACCACAGAACATTACTAGATCCATCTACCATACAAGCGGTAATGTGCCTACAAGATCGGTGGAGGTCCAAGAAGAGAACTCAAGGCATTGATGAGATGGCTAGTATTGAAGATAGACTTGATGAATTGACAATAGTAGATAGAGATAAAGAGGAGAAATTAGACAAATTACTTATTAGTTTGTAATTTTTATTTCTTAGCTGTAAATTTTTGATAAAGTATTTTAGAAAAAGTTACAAATGATAGTGATATAGATGAGTCGGTGCAAGCTTAGTTGGGATGTATTCATCTATTATGACGCGATAAATTCTAACAAAAATATAATTGTTTGTGATTAGTAATAAAGAATTTATTATTTATTATTTTAATTTCTATGATATTTTTATTTATAAATTGTATAATTAAAAGTGATTAATAATATGATTGCTTTTTTAATCAAAATTTCGCACATTTTATTTTTTAATTTTTCTTGAAATTTTATTTTTTTAAAAACTAATTTTTAAGCAAAAAAACAAACAAACCGGGCCTGCCGATCAATGTCATAGAAATTAGAATAATAAATAAATACTAGTAGACAGTTACGGTCATCAAGAGAATACAAGTCGGTCGTTGAATGGGATTCTTAGTTTCAGGGGTTTTCTCTCTTACGTAAAATGAGTATATGCAACTTCAAACACATAAGTAACAAGAATCCCATGTTATTGTCTTACTTTTACTTTTGAGCATAAGGTTATGAAACTGGAAATATTAATTCAAGTTGATTTCTTATTTATGTTCAAAGTCTGAATAGTCTTGAATACTACTCGTCTTTCCTTTAATGTGGAAGGAGACTCTACTTGCGCTTCTCTTGGTTAAAGAACAGCCCCAAAATTTTCTTGCTTGTCTTGCTACTAAAAAATTGTGTAACAAACGCTTTGTAAGTACATGCTTGAAGTAAATTCTTAGGTACAAGCGGGGCTATGAAAAGTATACAATCCACATTTGATGAAAGTGTTGTATTAGTGCATGTAATTACATTATTCACATTTAATCAAGCTGATAGGAAGAAAAAAAATGAGCAATGAGTAATGTAAAGCCAGGTTCCATAACTTTCTCCATTTTCTTTTACATGTTATCTTTAACATTGAAATAAATACTTTTCATAATACATCCATTGCAACAGAAGTTAAAGCATTAAAAAAAATTGGTGTTAGTCATGCTACGCATCTATTAGGCATTAAGCATGAGTTTAGTCTTAAAAAAACAGCACGAAATGGGATGTAATGCTTACATTGGGGGGAAAACAATAGAGATGAACATATGGTCAAATATGTTTAGATCCGTGACTCGAATAGGATTAATCATTTTGAGACAATTAGGTACAAATAGATTAGACTAGTCCACCTCTGTTTCATGGGCTTTTTGTTGGAAATTGGGTGTAGTCCCATACCTGTCAGCGACGAATTTGACGTCGACGGTGACCTTCGGCGAGGTCGAACAGTGAAGACGAGCTCAGGCGAGCTTGCGGAGGGCTACATGCGACCTCCTGATCAGCTGGCGAGTCGACATAGGTGAAGTCGACAACTAGGGCATCTTGCGAAGTCGACGAGCCTAGCTGCAGGCGGATTTTGGGAACGAGGTCTGGCGAGTTCGCGAAGAGCTGCGAAGTCCCCTTGTAGGCGAGTTCGAGGGCTTTAGGCGAAATCGGAGAGCTGCAGGCGAGGTCTCCTACAGGCGAGCTCGAACCCCAGGTTGCAGGCGAGGTCGCGGGCGAAGGCGAGTTCGTTTTCCCCCATTTGTTTCGCCTGCGCCAGAGTTGGATCCACCAGGATCCCATTTGCTTTGGTCCTTTGTTTTCCCTATTTAAGAGAAACCATGTGCTCGAGATGGGAGTGAGAAGAATCTCAGAGAGAGTTGGCGGCAGCGTTTGTTCGTGAATGTCTTCTTCTCCCCAACTTTTGAACACGAGATTTTGAGAAGAAAAATCTCGGTTATTAAAGAGGGTCTTCCTGTAGCAGATTTATTGAGGAGAGAGAGAATTTCCAGTTGGAAATATTCTCACGCCTTTTCAGAAGAACAGAAGTTTCTGTTGCTTCTTTAGAGAGATCTCAAGTTTAAGATCTACTCTTTTTACAAACTTTGTAATCTTCTTTAATATAAAGGAAATTATTTGTGTGGCTCTCGAGAACGTAGGCAAGTTGCCGAACCTCGTTAAAACTCGGTGTTCTCTATTCTTGCCATTATTTTGAATTTGTTGTGATTTTTTTTCCCATTGATTAACACAAGATCCAGTAGGTCAAATTCCACAGAACGGGTGTCAGAGCGTATCTGATATTTTCCTAACAACTGGTATCAGAGCTCTTGTTCAGATCTGTGTGTGTAAGAAATGGCAGAAGAAGAAAAATCAAAAATTAAGAAGTTTGACGAATCAGACTTCACCTACTGGAAGTCACAGATGGAGGACTATCTGTACCAGAAGGATCTTTACCATCCGTTGATGGGTAAAGCAAGAGGAAAGAAGAAAGAAGAATCCGACGAGGACTAGGAAATATTGGATCGAAAAGCCCTGGGGCAGGTCCGATTGGCCCTCGCAAAATCTGTACCACACAATATATTAAAGGAGAAGACGACGGTGGGGCTTATGGGAGCACTCGCAACGATATACGAGCAACCGTTAGCTGCAAATAAGGTGCATCTCGTCAAGATGCTATTCAACCTCAAGATGACAGAAGGATGTTCCTTCACGATGCATCTTAACGAGTTCAATATGATTGTTGATCAACTTATCTCAGTCGACATCAAATTTGATGACGAAGTGCAGGCCCTATTGATACTATCACAGTTACCGGATAGTTGGGTAGGTTGTATGACCGCAATCAGCAACTCAGCAGGGGTGGTAGCTATGATTCTATCCGAGGATGTTAGAAGAAAATTGAATGAATCAGAAGGTTCAGGTTTAGCCCTAAGTCTCGAGAAGAAAAGAAAAAGCCATAATAGGGGGAACCAAAACAGGAATCGATCAAAGTCGAAGAAGAAAATGTCGAACTCGAAGGTGAGATCTATCAAGGGGAAATGTTGGAACTACGGTCAGGAGGGCCATATGTCTTCTACCTGTAAAGCACCAAAGAAAAATGAGCAGGAGGCTCATATTGTGCAAGATGCGCTGATTCTCGCTATGGATAGTGATTCCGATTCATGGATTATTGATTCGTGAGCCTCATTCCATGCCACTGCTCATAGAAGGCTATTTCAGAACTATGTAGCAAAGGACTTTGGGAAAGTATATTTGGGGGATAATGAACCTTGTAGTGTCATTGGAAAGGGCGACGTGCAAATACAGTTAAAGAGCTCTAAGTGGTCTCTGAAGAATGTCAGACACGTACCGAAGTTGAAAAGGAATCCTATTTCGGTAAGTCAGCTTAGAGCAGAAGGCTATGTTACAATATTCACCGGAGATTCGTGAAAAATCTCCAATTATACAATGGTGGTTGCCCGAGGCAACAAGACCGGTACCCTCTACCTAAATTCACACGCGAGTGACACCCTCGCGATTGCTGCAGGCAAGGAGAGTGCAGATCCATGGCATAAGAGACTGGGACACATGAGTGAGAAGAGTATGAAGATTCTACACTAAGAAGGGAAGCTAACCGGCATCGATTCGGTGGAAGTCGGTGTTTATGAAGACTGCATCTTCGGGAAGCAGAAAAGAGTTAGTTTTTTTTGAAGGGTGGAAGACCATCTAAAGCTCATAAGGTAGAGCTTGTTCATACAGATGTATGGGGTCCAGCTTGCGTGTCTTCTCTTGGCGGTTCGGCGTACTACGTCACCTTTATCGACGTTCACTCGAGGAAGGTGTGGGTATACTTCATGAAACATAAGTCAGAGGTGTTCAACATCTTCAAGAAGTGGAAAACCATGGTGGAGAATGAGACAAATCTGAAAGTGAAGTGTCTAAGATCAGACAATAGTGGAGAATATGAATTGGAGGAGTTCAAGAATTTCTGTGCTCTGAACGGGATTCATTTGGAGAGGACTACTACAGGGATGTCACAACAGAACGGTGTAGCAGAAAGGATGAATAGAATACTGACAGAGCGTGCGAGGAGCATGCATCTACATGTAGGTCTACCTAAAACTTTTTAGGTGGACGCGGTGAATACAGCAGCGTACCTGATAAATCATGGGCTATTAGTTCCATTAGACTTTGGGATTCCGGAAGAGGTTTGGAGTGGTAAGAAGGTTAATCTCTCACACTTAAGAGTCTTTGGGTGCGTGGCATATGTCCACATCAGTGACCATGTCAGAGACAAGATGGAAGCTAAGTTACTGAAGTGTACATTCATTAGATACGATATTGATGAGTTCGGGTATCGTCTTTGGGATGAGAAGAACATGAAGATCATCAGAAGCCAAGACGTCATATTCAATGAGGAAATGATGTACAAGGACATGGACAATGCCAAGACGGGCCAAAGCAGTGGGAGCAGCACTACGGATGCGGACGCATCTGAGTACATGGATTTGGAAGAACTTCCATATGGGGGAGACAACGTCAATTCTGACCAAAGAACGGAGGAGACTCCAGGTGCAGAACCGACTACCCAGGGCGAGGAGCTTAGGAGGTCCTCCAGGGTACCCAAACTGAATCCCAGGTATCTCTCGTCACTAGATTACCTACTTTTTGTTAGACCCTAGAGGGGGGGTGATTAGGGTCTTATGCTAATCTAATACCAATTAATAGCAATTAAAATTATGTTGATTAATATGTTCTTGCAAGAGATAGATATGAACAATAAGAACAATAAGAATATGCACAAATAAAATATGAGACAAGCAAAACACAAACACACGATATGTTTACGAGGTTCGGTCCCCACGACCTACGTCCCCGCTCCTCACCTCGAGGAGATATCCACTATCACAATCCGGTTTGGAAGCCGGAACTTCTACACACTCGGTTTACAAGTTCACCGAAAACTCTCACACTACACAATCACTCAACAAACACACTTTACACACTAAGTGTAGGAACCTAGCCCGTGTCCTCCTCCTCAAGTGCTCGATTACAACCTCTCCCTAGGTTCGTCAATCGACGCCACTCCTATTGGATTTGACCCCGTCTCTCTCTCCTCACACTTCTCTCGGTGTACAAGTGTATTACAAGTGATTCTCACAAATGAAAGTTAAATACAATGATTTGTTCTCAATTAACAAGTGAGAACACAATGAAGCTCACACTCACTAAATCACACCCCACAACCACAATATATAATATGGAAATGTCAAGCTCAATAAGTGTGTGTGATAATAGTGAATCAAACTCAATAAATAACTTAATGAATATAGCTAATCAAATGAAAGTGAAATAGTAAGCTATATGGAAAGAGTTTAGAAAAACTTCTCAATGAACAAGAGGAGCGGAAGAATATGATCCAAATGGAATATGAAAGCCTCTTCTTGTTTTAGAAAACTTTCTCTTGAAAACTGATTAACGAAACACCTCTTAAACAGCTCTTAAACGCGATTAATATCTTGCTAAACAATAAACTTGGATTTCTTGGTTCTTAGAGAAGAAGAGCAGCAATAGGGTATACATAGCACCCCAATACAACAGCTAGAAATAGGTAAAAGACCAAAAATCCTATTTGAAAAAACTAGCCGTTAGGCTCATTTTGTCAACTCGTCGGTCGACCGGTGCGGTCGACCGATTAGTTCAAAAAACCTGAAAAATAGTTTTTAAAGCTGGCGGTCGACCGACGTAGATTTCGGTCGACCGAATGGAAATTTCGGTCGACCGACGGAAATTCCGGTCGACCGGAAAACACTTGAAAAAATTCTCAGAAAACTGACTATCGTCAGTCGACCGTATCGGTCGACCGAAATCTGATATGGGCAAAAAGACAGGTTTTGGACAGTTTTGAAAATTTGTTAAAAAATATCAATTTATATCCAAAAATAGTGAAACTTTGGAGAAAGTTTATAAATGATGAAATGAACATGTTTGAAAAGGAATTTTTGGAAAAACAAATTTCGTTTGTGAAAACTACCTGTTATTGAAAAATGCTTAGAAAAACCTGTATTTTATGAAAGTGAAAATTTGATATAGGACTTGTAAATGTTCATATATATATTATGCATATATTATATGTATATAATAAAGCATGAGAGAGCTGTAAACAAGAGATAAAGATATTTTAACAACGTTTTATGAAAAATCATCTATATGATAGAAAACGTCAAAAATCGTGTTAAGTGTATATATTAAGCTTAGATATCATCATACAATATATGTAAGTAAACTAAACAAATACCTAGGTAAATCCACGCAGATGAACTTGAATCTTTGACGCTGTGTTGAAATACCTGAAAAGAGAACATAAACACAAAACACTAGAAAACTTATTAGTAATAAATTGTTTGTCAAATCATCATCAAAACTATAGGGTCAACAATCTCCCCCTTTTTGATGATGGCAAACAATTTATACATGAATATAAAGTATACACTGATAGTCCACATATAAGCCAAAAACAAGAAGGAATCATACATGACCATATATATAAATCATACATGACCATATATAACAGAATTAATTTGTAAGCTATATGTGGGTATTTTCTCCCCCTTTGACAACATCAAAAAGAGAGAAAAATGAAAGATAGGAGCAATGCTCCCCCTGCTTATAAGCATAGAAAAAAATAAAGAAATTTATGTCAAAAACTTCCCCTGTCAAATAGACTAGATGACATCAATAGAGCATATATATACAGGAGCTAAACCGACAACTATCCATCAAACTTATGCATAATAAAAAATATGCAAGAAACAAAACATGGTTATTGTCTTAACCATGCATAAGCAATTTACAAATCATCATTTAGGCATCATAGATGTGCATGAAAATACAAAACGTAAACATCATATACGCAACTTATGATAAACAACTATTTGCTACACACTAAAAACATGAAAGTTATTTTATATAGGCATTGATTCATAAAAGAAATAACCTGAACATAATAAGCCACAAAGAACATCATATAGGCATTAGAAGCAACATATTTTCGCATAAATATAGGTTTGTCCACGAGATAGCAAGTCATACATAAAACGTCACACAAAACCATACATAGTTGTTCCACAAAGCATCATAGAGTTATTACACTCAAATAAAACAGAGTTTTCACGTTTTACAACCCAGAATAGAGCATCAAAAACACATAAAAACATCACATGAAGAGACTCAATCAGTCATCACCTCCTCCAACATCATCACCATCACCTTCTCCACCATCATCACCATCACCGTCACCATCACCATCACCATCACCATCACCATCACCATCACCATCAGAGCCATCAGCAGAATCCTCACTAGAATCAGACTCAGAATTAGAAGGGATCCCGAGAGACTGACGCTGGTATGAAAGAATAGTCCTAACATCCTTCTGAATAGATGTGACACGAGTCTCAAGGCGATCAAGACGGTCACAAATCTCAGAAGTGGAAGGAGTGGAAGAGGTAGAGGCTCTAGAACGGGAGTGAGAAGATGGTGTGGAGTCAAGAGATATTTGCATTCTGGAAAGGGAAACTTTATCAAAGAAATCTCTCGTGGATTCAACCTTAGGTTCATTAGTGAGGTCAACATTGAAATGTTGAAAGATGAGAGTGAAAAAGGAACCGAAAGGTAGAAACTTGGTATGTTTTGATACCATGTTATTGATAAAGATAGTAGCCCAATCAACTTTGATCTTAGCAAAAATGGCATAAACAGCATTAATCTTGTCAGAGGCGAAGTGATCAAAACTACCAGTCTTAGGAATCAAATTTTGAGCAACAATTCTGGCAATGAGTCTAGCAATAGGATTAAGTGAATTGTTGTTCATAGGATATGAGCATCCGGGCTTAAACATGAGTGGGTTAACATCTGGATTACCAACATCAACAGACATGAGATGAACGTCACTTGTTGGGATATTAAGAATCCCCGCAAGTTCGTTGGCAGAAAAGGTAATTTCAACATTTTTCACTGATGATGTAATAATTAAACTACCATCAGCAGAAGATGTTGTGGACAAGTTCGCATAAAACAGATAAACAAGAAATGGATAATAAGGAACTTTATGACTTTCATCAAGCAATTTATCTAACCCAACATTTCGAAGAATAGACTGAGTGTTGTATATGACTAGTTCAGGATACTTGATATACCTAGTTGGGAGAAACTTCAGTTTACACAATTCCCTATATTTTCTAACAAGAGGTTTAAACAGCAGATAATCCTCATAATGTGAGGCTTTTACAAAGGAGGAACTAGATTCGGGTTTAGACCTCTTTTTAGGGGGCTTGGGAGGCATGATAAGATAGGGTTTTGAAAAGATTAGAGAAAATTTTCAATTTCCTGTAAACAAAAACCAATATAGAGCAAATTAACAAAAAACCCTAGAACAAAAACCCTAGATTAAGAAGAGTTAATACTAGAATAATGAAATAAGGTTAAACAGATGAGAGGAAATCATTACCTAGCAAAAACTGTTAGAAAATGATGGAGAAATAAAATTCGGTCGATGAAGCCAGGCGACCGTGAGGAAATGTCGCTGATTTGGGGAAAATGACGAACTGAGGAGAAGGAGAATGTAGGCATATAAAATTGCTTATAGGTCCCCTAGCATAGCTCGGCACAAACCGACGAACCAACGAGGCGACGCAGATCGACGATCGCACAGAAGCGCGGAATGCATCCATACCGCGCGTTCGGAATCAAGCCAAGTGCTTAAGGAATCAACGAGTCATCCAACGAGAACAGACTCGACGAATCGCGGATCGAATCAAGGATCAGTTTTGCGGACTCGAACTCAGAAAGCGGATTTACTGCCAAATCAGGAATCGGATTTACTGCCAATCAGCGAATCGACTTACTACCAAAATCAGCGAGGGAGATTAGCCAGGATCAGGGGAGATGCGAAGCACGGGGCAGAATAGGGGAGGAGGCATCGGAATTTCACCACTGAATTCTCAACGACACGGACAGAACCGGAAACAAACGGAAAACAATTCCGAAAATCCGAAAAACACCGCCGCCAGGGGGCTCGGCCAAAGCGAGCCACCTCAGGGCTTAGCACAGTGCCGCGCCACACCCGAGGTTGCCGACCAGTGGGCCCGAGGCTGGCCGACAGTGGCCAGAGGGTGGCCGACATTTCTCTTTTTGCGGCCACTGGTCCTGAGACCTAGTAAATAGGCGCTTAAGATGTCATTTTCGGAGGTCGAACTTTCAAGAAGCCGAAACTCTGCCGGATGAAGAGTGAGACTCGAGTTTGAAGACTTTGAAGACTTGGACGTACAGATCTGATCCGCGCGACGCATCCACAGTCAGAAAAGGTAGGATTTCGAGAGGAAGAAAGACAGATCTGAGATCTACACGAGACTACACTCCAGATCCTAGCTTGCGTCTTAGATCTCGAGATTTGAGCGATTATTCCTTGGTGGATTAATCCCTCCCGGTATTATCCCTTCGTGGAATAAATACCCCCAATAATCGTGTAGTCCGACCGGCGATCTAGGATCGCGCGGTCGGTCCACGGATTAACCCCGGCGTTGGCCAAAGAACCCACACAAAGCAAGCGATCCGCAAAACAGAGCGTTGCGATTTGTT